TTCAGATGGCTGTGAGCCACCATGTGGTTGCTGGGAATTGAACTCAGGACCTTTGGAAGAGCAGGCAATGCTCTTAACCTCTGAGTCATCTCTCCAGCCCCTGGTTGGTTTTTGAGACACAGTCTTACGTAGCCCAAGCTGGTCTTCAACTCGCTATGGAGCTATGGTGAATTCTCAATCCTCTTGTCTCCTCCTTCCAAGTGCTGGGGTTAGAGGTGTGTACCACTATGCCTGGATTGGAGAATTCTGTAACCCAGGCCATGTTCATGCTAGACAAGGGCCCTAACAACCGGGCTACACCTCCAGTTCCTTGTGGAAGTTTTAAGAAGAATGTTTAAACATTGATTTGTTTCTGTTGTATGTATATACACACGCGTGTGTTCATGCGCACGCCCTGGTGTATGTGTGAAGAGATGGGGGGATAGCTTGCAGGAGTCAAGTTTTACCGCGTGGGACCCCGGGGATTGAACCCGGGTCATTAGGCTTGGCAGCAGCACATTTACCCACAGAGCATCTTTCCAGTCTCCCATTTTTTAGTATGTTTAAGGATTTATTTACTTACTTTGCTTTATCTGGAATTGCTTTGGCATAAATATCTTTAGTGTCGTTTCACTTTTTGAGGTGAAACTTATGGGTTTTTTTTTGTTTTTTTTTGTTTTGTTTTGTTTTTTTTGTTTTTTTTTTTAGGCTTCATGATGAGGTGTTATCATTATGTTCTTAGAAATGTCTTGGGGACCACATGGAGGGAGGCATGGCTGGAGTTTGACACACCCGGGTGGCAGCTGCAACCTAAATAGCAGGTGCTCCAAAGACCACGAATTATCTGGGAGTAACATTGCAATAGGGACTTCATGCCACAGTCAGTGATGTGAATATTTAAGGAGGTTGAGGCAAAGGTCACTACCCATGTCCTTAAAAAATAAGCCTTACCTCCGGGGATCAATCAATCAATCAATCCCTGCACTAGCCTATTTTTAGGTTGAACAGTTAGGCATCCTTGGAGAAAAACGTCTCTGTGCGGGTTGCGGTCCCTTCAGAGTCTTTTGGTACAGTTAGTTTCTCCTCCTCGTCTTCTCCTCCTCCAATCTGTTTGCTTCGAGACAGGGTCTCACTATGCAGCCCAGGCCTGAACCAACCCTAAAGCCTCAGCAGGTCGCAAACTAGAGCCAATCTTCCTGCCTCGGCCTCCTAAGTGCTGGGCATGGAGCTCAGGTGGCTGGGCTCTTGGCTAGCGTACAAAGCCCTGGTCCAGACCACACACATGTAATAGCGAATGATATGGAAATAGGATTGTGTTTTACCTACAGTAAAATGCATACCTACATACCACAGTCCCAGCTCTTTCTGTTAAACTAGCCCAAGATGATGTAAGTCCGTGTTGCCTTGTGCAAAGGTGTTCTCACCCTTAAGGGCCATGCACCATTGGCAGCTGGGTGAGTGAGCTGGTTGTTGTAACCCAGTGAGGTTCAAGCACTCTCAGGTGGACTTGGAGGAGCCTTGGATGTTCTTCCCAGCAGCAACCTCCTCAGGATGCATCCAGAACTTTCCTCCCTAATTAGACTGGAGTAAAATTTAGATATCGAATGGAAGCAAAGTTCTTCACAAAATTCCTAAACCTTCTTTAAAGGACACCTTTTTAAGCATTTGCTCACAAAATTGCAGCCAGCGCCATCAAATTGTACTCAGAGTCTTAGACAGTTAAATATACAGCTTATTTCTCTAACCCAGTCAAGAGGGATTTTGTTTGTTTTGCTTTTATTGGTTTTTTTTTCTGATCTTTTGAGACAAGGCCAAATTCTGGTGAACAAACCAACTTGGAATTTACTATGTAGCCCAGGTTGGCCTTCAATCTAAGTCTCCCAAGTGCTGGGATTACAGGTGTGGGCCCTATAATCAGTTAAGAGTTTTCTTGCTTGTTTGTTCTTGTTTTGTTGTTGAGTCAGTCTTGTGAAGTCTAGTCTGGCTTCAAGTTTCCTAGGTAGCTGACACTTCCCTTGAACTCCTAACCCTCCCATCTCCATCTCTCAAGAGTGAGGACCACTGGCCGGTGCCACCACACCTGACTAAGAATTTTCTTATTAGTGTTTCTCATACTTCTACGCTACCTCAGCCGTGAAGCATGCTGGCCCTTTAACAGGTGAGCAGGAGGCAGAGCTGAGTCTTCAAAAGCTAGGAGAAACAAGCAGGACCTGGCTGCCATGGCTAACCTACGTGGGAAGGACAGCAGCAGTCACGTGGTGGGTGTCAGCAACAGGGTGTCACTGTACACAGACAGTGGTTGGTTGTAGTCTTCCAGGACCTAGCCAGACCCCTAACATCTGTCCCTCCTTGGAACTGAGCTGGTTGGGTGGGAGGGGTGGGGGCTTATGCTTATCTGAGAGCTCAGACTCTGACTTCGTGAAGCCTTGGGTCAATAATTCTCTGCTGAATTATTATCACCGTGCTGAAAGGGGACCATGGATGTTTTAGGGGCCAGCCCATCCTTATCAAGGAAGAGAGGGTCTCTGGGTCTCTTCTCCATCCCAGGTTTCCCTTCTAGAGGCTTCTCTATCAGTGAGGGACACAACTGGCAAGGAATCCCACCAGGCTGCCGAGATGACATGTCTTGAAGGTATTACCACGTGGGCCGAGTATCTACAGAAAATGTACAGAAGTCCACAGGCAAGAGGTACATATCAGCATGGTTAAGAAACGGGGTACAGTACCGTGACTGAAAGCTCTGCTGTGGCTGGCTAGCTACTGAGATAGGTTTGTCTGGGCTTTTGTTTTCCTTGCTGCTGTGCAAAAACTATCAGCAATGCTCTAACAGCGCTGAGTGACTGTGCGATAGGCGTGCGGTGTAAGGCAGGGAGCATACAGGGTTAAGCTGCACTGAATGGGGACAGCTGAGATGAGCTCATTTAAAGAGGCAGCAGAAGGGCTTGTTAGATTAGGAAGAATGGGTGGAGAAAGAGGCCTGTGGTATCCATTCAGACCATTGAAGTGATCCCCGGGGAAGTGAAGGGGTTTGGTGTCTGCTAAGTGCTGCTCATGCTAATGAAGGCTCATTTGGGAGTGTCCTGGGGCGGAGCTAAAACAGTGGGGTGCTTAAAAATGGTTCTAGAGCCCAGTGGTAGAGACAGGTGGATCTCTGTGAGTTCGAGGTCAGCCTGGTCTATAGAGCAAGTTCCAGGATAGTCAAGAATACACTGAGAAACCCTGGGGGAGGGGGGGAGAAGAAGAAAAGAAAAGAGAAAAGAAAAGAAAAGAAAAGAAAATGATTCTAGAGATGGCTTCCGAATGGAGCTTCTGGTTAGGATCAGCTTGTCTAGATCAGAGTTTTCACACCATCAATACAGCTATGTCTCTCTCTTCTTCCCCAGGCCTGCATTTACACCAGAGGCCAAGCAAGTTCTCTGCTCCCCTGGCTCCTGAAGAAGGCTCAGTATCTGCCTTCTACCTGGAGAGAGTGGAAGAGGAGAATGAAGAAGATGTGTGTTCAGATCAGGCCCCAGATGTGGAGGAGGAAAGGAATGATCTCGGGGATCCAGCCATATTGAGTGTCATCCAAAATACCCAAGTACCACGGCAGGTAGGGCTAGAGAGAGTGGTCCTGAACTTCCACGATCCTTCACAGACTGTCACTCAACAATCCTCTTGTCACCTCTGCTGCTTTAAGACCCATTTTGAGTTACCGTGGTTTATTTCAGGTATGACGCTGAGCTGGGGCTTTCTCCTTCTCTCTTCCTCCTGTCTCCCATTGACGCTTCTGCAGCTGTCCTTTACCTTAAATCAGGTCCGAAGCCAGGTGCAGTGGTGCACACACCTGCAATCCTAGCACTAAGACCTCAATCTGGATTGCATAAAGAGACCCAGGCACAGACAGACAGACAGACAGACCAGGCATGCGTGCATGCACACACACACACACACACGCCCTAAAATCAAACAAGCAAAAATCCACAAGGCTGGGGAAGGAGGCCACTCAATTGGTACAGTCCTTGCCTTGCAAATGTGAGGACCTGAGTTCAGATCCTGGGAACACATGTAAACCCTGTATATGTATACAGCAGTGTGTCCCCGTATTCCTAACCAGTGCAAGATGGGAGGTGGGGACAAGAGGGACCTTAGGAGCCTAAGGCCAGCTTGCTCAGTTTGCCCAGCCTATGTGGCCAAGTTCTAGGCCAATGAGAGACCCTGTTTCAAGAAAAAGGTAGAAAGAGCCTGTAGACCAACATCTGAGGTTCCCCTCTGCCCTCCACACTACACACAGTCACACACACGCATGTGTGCCTCCAAGTTCACGTGGACACCCCCACAGAGTCCTGTGTCTCCCATAGATAGCAACCCGACTATTGGTGCGTCCCTTTTGTTTTAGCCTTGTGTCTTGGCAGGCCATGCCTAGTATGTGATCCCTTACATTCACACAAGCCAGTGGGACTGTGTGAATACTAGAAGACAAGGGCTTCTAGTATAAGCCAGGTGACTTGGCCCTCCTGCAGTCTACCCCTAAAACGTTAGCCATCTTCTCAGGAGGAGGAAGGAGCCTGGCCCATTTGGCCTTGAGGATGAAGGGGAAGGCCGGGTTGCTACTCTCCCGGCTGTTGAAATAACTGACTTTGCTACCCCAGCCTTGTTCCCATGAAAACAAAAAGCAGAAGATGGTGTGGGGGTCCATTCGAATCTGGCATTTCTTCCTTTCTGTTCCAGAGAGGCCTGCATGGTTCCCCTGGAGCCAAGGCCCTTGGTACCCTGGGGATGTCACAAGCCTCCTTGCGTTTTCTGTGCAAGGTGAGTCGAGTCTCCATCTTGTGAGGAGGTGACTGAGTGACTCAGAACATTTCCATTCCTGGAAGTGTTGAATGTCCCTTGCCTCATCATGTTCAATCTACCCTTCTCCTTGTCCTGGAGATGACGCACCCAAAGTGAGGCACTGGTATGGGGTGGACAGCCACACCAGGCAGAAGAGCTTGGTAAACGACAGGTGGTGCAGGATGGCCTTCCTAAGTGCTCCGGGAACAGCTGTCACTCACACGAAACGGGACACGCTATAGATTCCTACTCCAACATTATAAAATAGCAGACGGTCAAGTACTGAACGTAGGAGCAGGAAAGACACCAGCTGCCCATGAAGTACTTAATAGGGTGAGAACCGAAGACTGGGAAACCCCATAGGGAGAGCTGTAAGCTAACTGAGCTCTGCTGAGGGCTTGGGTGAGGCAGAAAAAAAAATTGCTGAGGAGCCTGCCCTCAGTAGCTGAAGACAGAACCCAAAAGCAAAAGGGATGTTCAAAAGCACATCCTCCTCCCCCATCCTCAAAGACGGAAAAGGCATCTCCTGGGAGGTGGCGGACTGTCGAAGGCAGGAAGCACGGTCTCCACAGCTGCCTTGAGGGTTTTGCAAAACACTGGGTGAAATCACTGAGGGGAAAAGGCAGGTGAGCCACCCAGAGGGAAACGACCTGAGCAGGGGCAGCGTTCACTCCTCTCTCCGTGGAATATCCCCCTCGTCCCCTGGACCATCTATGGCCAATTCCTTTCCAGCCTGCATTCTCAAGAGCCAGCTTTCCAGCCCGCCACATGGAACCTCGCCAGCCTTCACGGGATCCTCTTCTGTCCTACAACCCACTGACCCTGTGGCCCCCTAAACTCAGGTACCAGGGACAGGCTGAGTTCCTCCTATAGGTCGTAAGACATGGTGGCCAAGGGCCACCTCCTCCGTTACCTTCTATCAGTTGCCACAGAAAAACACTTAGATACACTAACAAAAATTGGAAGCATAGTCCAGTCTCTGCTCCCTCACAGCTGAAGAAGCAGAGCCCCAAGGGAATTAAAGAAGGAGGTGGGCTACCCCGACAGATTAGGACTTGCTAACAACCATGCCAAAAGGTTGGCTACTGTGTCTAGATTGTTGGCAGTCAGATTGCAGAGAACCATTTCTTGGGATGGGAAAATGAGGACTGCGTTGTTTTCTGCTTTGTGTGTGTGTGGGGGGGGGGGGGGTTATGTAGACACAGAGGGCTGCCTTAGGTGTTCACTGGAGCTTCCCCGGTGAATGCATGGACAGTTGGGGTGCAGGGCAGAAGTTTTCCACTCTGCTGATTTCCTTTTAAGCCTTCCCAGTCATCTGACCCAGCTCCACCCTCAGCACCAAAGGATCCTACTGCAGCAGAGGAGTCAAACCATGAGGTAATGCCTAGATGAGAAGCTGGACTGAGGGGAAGCAGTCCGCATGTATACTGGGTATTATTTCCTTGGAACTAGCTGTCTTCCCCCACTGCATAATGGAACTCCATCACCGTTGCCCAACACTGCACCTTTTCCAGTCCTTCCAAGAACACTCCACTGCCTGCTCACATCTCCTTGGCAAGTCACAGTGGCAGGGCTTGCCTAAAGGAATGTTTCTGCTGGCTTGAAGTCTAGCCAAGAAGCCTTGGTCTCTGAAGCCAGACACCTATGCTAACCTCATGACCCGAAAAGAGAAGGACTGGGTGATAAAAGTGCAGATGGTTCAGCTGCAGAGTGAGAACCCTCGCCTGGATGATTATTACTACCAGGTGAGCTCCCGACCCCCTCGTCCCACCTTTAGACCTTGGCCAGATGAGTTAGAACTCCTGGGCCTTGTGACCCTCACTCCAACTCATAGCGGCCACATCTGATTAGGTGCCGGCACAGTCACTCCAAGAAAGAACCCATCTTCCTAAAGTTACTGTTCCAAGCCCCTTCCCTCCTCCTCTCCCACACTTCGGTCAAATGGAATTATCGACTTTTTTCTAAATAGCCAAAGCTGGTCTCTCCATCCTTTTGAGAGGTTCCCATTTCTACCCTGGAAATGTGGGCCTGCCCACGTCTGTGCACTTCCGTGAGCCTTCAGGATACCTTATAAACACCCACACTCTTTGCCTGCTCCCTGGACCCTCAGGAATACTATCAGAAGCTAGAGAAGACACAGGCAGACAAAGAGTTGCTTGGGCACAGGAACAGGGCTGAGTCTCTCAAGCTGGTCACGCCTCACATCCAGAAGGCAGAAGGTTATGAGTCAGGTATGGCCAGACTGCTGGCTTGGGCTGGATATCTGGGCGCATGGGTGTTCCTATAGAGAAGCATGCTTCTCCCGGCTCTCTTATGCAGTGGTACGAATTGAGGGTTCCCTGGGCCAGGTAGCTGTATCAACATGTTTTAGCCCTCGCCGAGCTATTGATGCCGTATCTCACGGAACTCAAGAGCAGGTAGGAGAGTGAGATCATCCTAGAATTTTCCCTGCCCCTGTTGTCTAAAATGCATTCGTGTTTGGGGTTTAAACACTCTTACATTGCGGCATACGGGTGAGGAAGCAGTGTGGTCAGACTTTGTGTCTAGCCTTTTCCAGCCGCACTGATGGTGTGACTGATGGACAGGAACCCCTTGTGCCTAGGATACAGGAGCAGCAAGCAGTCAGAGGCTCCGAGTGCTCTCCTTGATTGAGAAGGTGAGATAAGCTCACTGAGAGATAGATGCTCTTGACTAAATTGACTAAAATTTTAAGGATGGGCTATTGCTCAATTAGCCACCTCCTCCTTCCCTCCCCCCCCCCCCCGACCACTGTTGAATTCCCAGATGTTCCTTCAGTTGCTAGAGATAGAGGAGGGCCAGAATGATGGGTTTCCACAGCTCTACCACTCGGAGGAACAGAGAAATCAGGTGGAGAAGCTCTTTCAGGCCTTAAAGACCCAGGGGCAGGACAACCTGGAGTGAGTATGAGAGAGTCCCGCCTTAGCCTCAGAAGGGGAGGCTCAGTGGCTGTGGGGGCTTGCTGCTGGCATGAAGCCTTCTTCCCTAGCACAGGTCTCAAAACACTCTCCTCTCTCCCCTGTAGGGAGACAGCAGATAGCCTTCTGCAGGTGCTGTCTGTGAGGAAAGGGAAAATTCTGGTGGCTCGGCTGCTCCCCTTCTTGCCCCACGATCAAGCCGTTAGCCTTCTTCTCTATATCACCTACCACCTGCCTCTTCTGATCCTGAGGGACATGGCTGACCAGGTACCGTGGCAATGAGTGGCAAAGAGGGTGGTCTTGATGGGTTTGAGGTCTTTCCCCTCCCCTATCTCCCCTCCCTTCCTAGAGATGCCAGCAAGAGATAGAATAGTGTGCTGCCCACCCCTCAAATAGGGAAGTTACAGAATGAACTACCATAGTGGCAGCAGATCATCTTCAGATACGATGAGCGAGGAAAGTAGGTGAGCGGCCGTGCAGGTGTGAGTGCGCTGTGAGAGGAGATAAGGGTCCTCTGAGGAGGGGTGAGTCTTGTCTGCCTCTTATAGAAAGCCAGTGTAAAATAAGTCAGTGTTCTAGGACTCCATTAGGAATAGAGTCATGAGCAGTGGTAGGCCTGGCAAGGACCCAGACCAGGAAGCTGTGTACAGTCCCATCAGCCAGGGAAGGAACTGGAGGTAACGATGAGGGGATGAAGCTGTGGTAGAGTTGGGAGAGATGCTTAGTGATTTTCTCGTAGGCTCTACACATTCTATTCAAACCTCTGGGAAAATACATCCATTATTTGACCTTCCATCAGCTCCTCCATGGACTTCAGGGTCTAATGTTGCTGCCCCCTGGTACCTCAGAGCGGCCAGTCTCTGTGGTGCTTCAGAATCAGGTAATATATCCAGGACACCTTTCTTTTCATAAATGACTTTTTGTTTGTTTTGATTTTTTTTTTTGAAACAGGGTCTCATATAGCTTAGACTAGCCTAGAACTCTCCAGTTAGCCAAGGATAACCTTGAACTCATGACCTTTATGTTGGCATGTGCCACCATGACAGTCCTCCCATAGATGACTTCTCAATGGCCTACTAGAAATTATAAAGAGGATAGTTTCATCTCTACACAAATCTTATCCTCAGTAGCACGTCTCAACGTCCAGTGAGAACTGGACATGGTCTACTCCTGCTACACAGGAGGCTGTGGCAGAAGGATCATGAGTTCAAGATCAGCTTAAGCATCACAGCGAGGGTTAGGACACTCTAAACCTGTCTCAAAACCTTCCAGGGAGCACAGGATCATCTGGACTTAGCTTATTAAGTACCCGGTCCCTGGTCCCACTCCCTGGAAGATAACAAGGAACTGTGTGTGTGGGGGGGTGGCTGCTCCCCCCATTTCCTCTCTCTGTTCTCTTCCTTTCCCCATCTCTTCTCTCCTTTTCTTTCTCTACTGTCTGGCACTGTTGCTTCTCAGTATGTGGTGAGACTTGTGGCGAATGCCACAGGTGGGAATGGCATGTGGTACAGGACTTCTTACTTCCTGGCATTTAGAAAAGAGAAGTACATGTCTTGACTGGGCAGGGGGTGGCTCCATTGGTGGAGTGCTTGTAGGGTGTACACAAAGTTCTGGTTTCAGTTTCTAGCACCACACAACGTGAGGGTGGTGGTGCATACTTGAAAAAGAAAATAGAAACGAGGGTATCAGGGTTTAAAGGTCACTTTTGTCTATGGTGAGTTCAAGGCTAGCTTGGACTAGCTGAGATCTCTGTATGGCGGGGGAGAGGGTGCCACATCTTTTGTATGGAATCCCTGTGACTGCTGGTGGTAACCACTTCCACACCTGAAGTCCCAAAACTTCTTATTGTGTATGCTTTAGAGTTAAAAAAAAAAACTGGAGGCATATCACGTGTTTATAATATTACGGTTTTTTTCTAAAGAAGAAATAAAAAGTCTTTTCTTTGTCCTGAGCATGCCAAACTAGGCACTTCCTATAGCATTGAACTCCGCCCCCAGCCCACAACAGCAAGTCTGTGAGTATTGCCGCTTTAGACTTGACAGCCTGGGTCCATATCTACTGAATTCTCTTGTGCAGTCTCCTCTGTAGCCCTCTGCTGAAGGTGGTACTTCTGAAAGTGTGGCCCACGTACTACCCGAATCATTCCTCGTCTACTGACTCCCCCCTGCCCATTTAGTCAGCTCTCAAAGGCTTGTGGAAAGTTCAGGGCAGTGAGTTCTTTTGTAGCTGTAAAATCTGACCACTCTTGTGGCATTGGTCTCCTTGTGCACACGCAAGCCTGTCTTTCAGGAGGAAGCCAGCAAAACCAGAGAAGCCCAAAATGCCTAGGTGACCCCCTTTTGTCTCGAACTCTCTATCACTCACAGTTTGGGATATCTCTGCTTTATGCCCTGCTGAGTCATGGAGAGCAGCTGGTGTCCCTGGATTCTTCTCTCCAATCCAGCAGTGACTGCGCAGCCTGGTAAGATGGCAAAGGCCTTTCCAACAATACGTTCCAGCATCACAGGGTGTGTAGGGCGAGCCTGACCAAAGAGATCCTGAATACCATATTCGGGGACCGGGGAGGAAGTTGGGCAGAGAAGAAGACATCACAGAACTGTATCTTCTCCTGGCCCCACAGAGTATCCTACAATGTGGGTTTCCCGTGGGGAACAGGTCATAGTAATTAAAGAAGATACGTTTTAGAGTCAAACAAACCTGCCTATTGCAATGTAACTTTGAGACATTTCACTTCTTAGTTTGTTTCTTCATCTGGGAGTGGTGCTATTAACTCCTTAGAGAAATTAAGGTCAGATAGGCATTACCAGGTACGTACCAGATGCACGCATGTCACCTCTCAATTGCTGTCTGGGATGGGACCAGGGGCTGCTGGTGGACGATAGGGGACTTTGCCTGGACGGCGGTTTCCTTTATCAGTACAGCAGCTCTCTTCCATCCCTCAGGACAGACTTGGTGATTCTGGTTACATGGGAGATATCTCAGTTGCCCACGGCATCCCTGGCAGAGCCCCTAGCCTTCCCCAGGAACCTGCTTCCCCTCTTCTGCCATCACATGGACAAACAGCTAATGCAGCAGCTAGAAGCCAGAATGGAGTAAGTGCTTACAGAAACAGTCACAGCCTTGTCCGGGTCTGTGGATCCAATCTCGGAGAAGCTGTGAGCACAGACAGTAATGTGCTTTAGACAGAGTTCTATGGGCCGGGCATGGTAACACATGCCTTTGATCTTTTTAGACTCCTGAAAGTTGTCCTGTGACCTCCAAATGTTCACTGTGGAGTGTGAGTGAATGTGTATGAGTGTGCATGTGTGAGTGTGCGTGTAAGAGTGTGTGAGTGTGCGTGTAAGAGTGTGTGAGTGTGCGTGTAAGAGTGTGTGAGTGTGCGTGTAAGAGTGTGTGAGTGTGCGTGTGAGTATGCGTGTGAGTGTGGGGGAAGGGGTGGTACGAGTGGGTGGGTTCCAGTGGGGGGTGTGTGTGCAAGTATGGGTGGATGTGAGTGTGTGAGAGAGATGGTGTGTTTTGTGTGTGTGTGATCAAGCATGTAAACATAGCAAAACATTAAAAAGTCTATCTAGACTCTCAGGTATTTATGGAGTAACTGGTCTGGACTCATTAGGGTCCCTCGGACTGTTCAGTCAAACCTCTGCATTTATTCCCATGTTTGGTCATTTGTAAGTACTGTTTCAGAGCAGTAATTCGAAAAGTTGAATAATTCATTCAAAAAATAGTTGAAAGATTAATTCAGAATATGAGGAATAACACAGAGATAATCTCTGTCCTCAGAATTTTACCCAAGCATGAATTAAACTATAAATATTTGTAAATACGGAATTGTTTGCAGTTAACTCTTGTTCTCTTTTTAGGCTTGCCTGTATCTACTGATTTATTAGTTCTTGAACTTACGTGTGAGAAGCTGAAATCTCAGAAATGAAACTACATCACATCACCTTCCTACAGGGATACAGTCCAAGTCATTTCCTATACTTTGTTATGTTGGAGGACCCTGCCACATTGCCATAGCCCTGCTTAAAAGCTAAGTGAATTGCCTAAGATTAAGGCATGACTTTAGGTATAATTAAAGAAACATCAAATAATATGTTGAAACTTGTTTGTAAGTTTAGAATTACAATGAAGGCCATTTTTGTGAGTGTGTCAATATAAGGGGCAAGGCCTTATCGTATGTAATAAAAATGTAATCTGGGACATTGCTTCAGTGTGCCAGACTTTATGTAAACCAAACAGCTGAGCTAAGGCTGAGCGATTTGGATATAAGCATCTTCCTTGGCATGGTTGCATTTTGTCAAATGAAGTCCTGTGTTCGTCAAGGGACACTGGAGAACCTTTCATGCACCAGGCTGGGTTCTAGGTAGGAGGATAACAAAGGTGCACAAGTCTCTGCTACTTTCAGATGTACTTGGAGGTTGGGCAAGAACTGACAGAAAATATCAATCAGTCGTAAATATTGTCAGGAAACAGGATGATTTGAGAGCGACTGGAGTGGAGGAGGCTTTAGATTGGATTAGCTAGGACAGTGCTTTAACGGGTTGCTGTTGAGTCAATCCTCAGACTGTGGAAGTGGCTGCGTTACCAAGGCTAAGCATGGAGACATACCCCTGAATTCCTGAGTAGCTAGACGACTGGGGAAGGAGCCGGAGTCCAAGGCCACCAGGGAGCCTTTATCAAATAAAAAACTTGGCGAGATACTCTTCAATTTCTCCCAAATGCCTTTCCAACACATCTCAGTTCTCTCCCACTTTCTTCCTATACTAAATTGTACGTCCCTGAGTGAGCTGCTTCGCTCTTTACTCAACCCATCTATTTCAAAGGGTATCATTTGACTCCAGTATTCACGTGAACCTTCATGCTTGTAAGGAATAGAATACTCAGTGGAGGACCATAGAGAATAGACTGTCCTCCAAAGGAGGTCTGTTGGCCTGAGAGGTTGGCACCCCCAAACCGTGCAGCTACGTATCCGGTAGTACAGAAAAACTCACTATGCGGGTTCTGAACAGCGGTTTTTGTAGTCAGGGCCTAGCGAATGCTTTTTGAGGTAAAATGCTCTTCAAAACTGCCTGGTGGGAGATAAATCAAATAGTTTGCTTTTGCAAACTCTGGGTTCCAGGGTATCTGATGGGAATGGCAGCTTTGCAAAAGTCCGTGGGAGCAGATTTCTTGAAACCTCGGGGAGAAGGGCGGGCTCTGTTTTGTGCCCGTTTTTTTTGTTTTGTTTTGTTGTTTTTTAAGGGGAAAGGGTTCTTTAATTCTAGTCTATTAAAGAGTCCTTGCTACCAAGCAAACCACACGACTGTTCTAACCAATCGCACAAAAAGTGACGAGGGGCCAGCGACTGGGTTTTAATGAGCAGGCGTCAGTCTCAGAAAGCTTTGGTAACAAGCACAGCAGAAACAACTGACAGGACTTGGCGTTTATTGACTTGAGCTGAGAGAGGAGCGCGGGTGTGGTTCCGCAGGAGTCTGCTTAGGCCCGCCCCACCCCTCAAGCTAAGAAGACTACTGGCGTACGACCGCCTTGCAGTTCAGGTGACAGTCACAAGGCACAGAACACCGCGCATGCCCGGAACGCACGTGGGCGGGCGTCTCTCCCGGAAGGAGCGCACGGGCCGGGATGGCCGCTGAACCGGGGCCCGGAAGTGCTGCCTTCCCCGGCTGTGCCGGGGCCATGGAGCGGGTTCTGCCTGTGCTGCTGGTGCAGCTCCCTGCTGAGGAGACGGCGCAGCTGGGAGCGCGGGCGCAGCTGCACCAAGAGCAGGAGGCCCTAGGGAGCCTGACGGCTGCGGGTAGTCTCCGAGTGCTCTCCCTGGCGCCGGGCAGCAGGGGTGGAAGCAGCTGCTGCCTCCAAGGCCCCTTTGGGCAGTAAGTGCTGCGGGACAGCTGTGCAGTGCGGGAGGCGTCTGGACCTTGAGCTGCTCCGGCCGCTCCTGCGGGGAAGCCTGCGTGCTCCTGGCGGCGTGGGTTGGTGGGAGAGGGGTGACAGCGGGGGAATCACCTCAGCACTGTGAACCCCATTCCTCTCAGAACCTTTCCCATCCCGAGGTGAAATGCTCGCCTTGTTGCTTCTCGCTAACTCACTCTTTGGGTGGGCAGAGAAGATAACCCTGGATAGGTCCCAGTCCAGGAGCTGTTTGTTCAACTTAAAACAGATTGTTACAGAAAGGAGTACTAAGCCTGTCTTCCTCCTCCGCCGCCTCCTCTTCATTACATAGCCCAGGCAGCACTAAAACTTGGTACAGAGACTAGACTGGGCTCGAACCTTCAGAGATCCGCCTGCCTCTGCCTAAACTACCACACCTGACTTTGTTTAAAGATGCCAGGCGGTGGTGGCGCACGTATTTAATCCCAGCACTCTGGAGGCAGAGACAGGAGGATCTCTGTGAGTTTGAGGCCAGCCTGGTCTATAGAGCGAGTTCCAGGACAGGCTCCAAAGCTACAGAGAGACCCTGTCTTGAACCCCCCCCACACACATACACACAAAAAGTGCCAGATGATCTGGCTTATTTCTAAGTCATTTCAAATATCCATTTTTGTTACGGAAATAATGTTTTCTTGCAAACATAGCCGCACTCAGTGCACGTAAGTGCCCCGGGGTCACTGAACTAGCCCAGTTCCCACTTTTAATGTATTTGATCACAGTCTCCAGGTAGCTGGTTTGCAAGTCACAGTCCTGCTTTACTCTTTCTAGTGCCAGGATTACAGCCTCCATCTCCGTACCTGCCTGTCTTCTGTTTCTTAGACACGAGGCTCTCATGGACCGAGAAGATAGACAGTTACAATAATGTACTACTTTCCATTTTCATAAATCTTATCCATCATAACGTTTAGGAATGCCCCGAGTATATGCTGACCTTTTAAATTGTGGGAAGTATTCTAGGACCAGTCTGTGTGAGACTGTAGAGCCAAGAGGTATCTCACTTTGGAATCTCCAACTTCTGTAACAGCTCTGTACACACAAGACAAGTTTGGTAAATCAGCAAGTATTTCACCTACGTCACTTGTCTGATAAGGTCTCACAGTGTTCTCCCTTTAGGATAGTGCAGTGCTTTTAAATGTTTTACTTAGTTTAACCTTTTCCAGGGTTGATATTTAGGTTATTTCCCAAATTTTCAGTGTAAACAGAAATTAGGTGTTCGTAAAAAAGAAATAATTCCTGTTATTTAAAAGGCAGAAATGTGAACTGTTCTTTTCCTTTGGGGGGCTAAGAGGGGATGATTCAAGACAGGGTTTCACTTTGTAACCCTGGCTGTCTTGGAACTCACGCTGTAGACCAGGCTGGCCTCCAACTCACAGAGAGCTGACTGCCTCTGCCTTCCGAGTGCTGGGATTGAAGTGCAAATCTTTCTGTTAAGGACCTAATAGCTGCCCTATTTAATATAAAACTTACTTCTGTAGAAAACAAAGCTTTTAAAGAAGTTGAAACTCTCAGAGTGGTGCCTCATCTCCTTGAACTGCGTTGTTTTCAGAGTGGGCCCTACTGACTGTTTTTGAGAAAGGGTCTTTCTCTGTAGCCCAGGCTGGCCTCCAACTCTCGGTCTTCCTGTCTCAGACTTGCGTGCAGGTGCCTTTCCCTGCTGAGCCATTACTGGACTTCCACTTCACTTCCGGAGGCAGAGTCTGTGTCTGAAAGGAGGAGATCACAGTAGCAGACTAATCTGAGCCGCTAGCTTGGCCCCAGGATCCCTTGCTTCTTCCTTCTGAGTGCTGGTATTAACAGGTGTCCAAGCTGCCATGCCTGACTGGCTTTTATGTGGGTTCTGAATAACCCAGACTGCCGTTCTCAAGCTTGTGGAGCCAGCTCTTTAACCCCTTAGCCGCCCTTCCCAACCCTTATATTTATTTTAAATGGAGTTTACTATAGTTGGTCTTTCCCCATCCTTGTTAGCCTACACTGGTGGTGACTGTTCTGCCTAGAATAATTATCGTTAGTCACGTGTGGCCGTTAAAATGAACGTTGAAATCCAGTTCCTTGGTTGCAGTTCCCACAGTTGAAGGGCTTTGTAGCCATATCTGCCCTCAGGTTGTGGTTGTCTTGGGCAGCACTGAAATAGAAAATAACATTTCCATTATCACAAGGTTCTATTGGACAGGGTTGTTCTGTACCATAACATTCTGGAGTAGTCGAAGACTATATATAAAGAATCACTCTTTAAAATCTGAAATAATTCAACTCAGCCAAAGCCAATTTAAAATATTTATTTTATGTGTTAAGTGTTTGCCTGCATGCATGTATGTGTGCCACATGCCTGGTGGTGCCTGCAGAGACCACAAGAGGGCGTCAGATTCCCTGGAATTAGAGTTACTGATAGTTGTGAGCTCTTAACCACTGAGCCATCTCTCCAGCTCTATAAGCCCATTTTATTAATTGTGATAAGTAATATATTTATAAGTAATAAATTTAGAGCTGGGCTTGGTGGCACACACCTTTAATTCCAACACTCAGAAGGCAGAGACAGGCAGATTTCTGTGAATTTGAGACTAGCTTGGTCTACAGAGCAAGTACCAAGACAGCCAGGGTTACATAGAAAGTCCCTGTGTCAAAAAAAAAAAAAAGATTGATTGTTGGTATTTATTCCTCATGATGACAATCTGTTTAAAAATATCAGTTGATGCTCAAGGTAAAAGAATAACTGGGTTTAATAAGACTTTTTAAAAGCTGAAGGATGATCCCAGCACTCGGGAGGCAGAGGCAGGCACGAATCGCTGTGAGTCTGAAGCCAGCCTGGGCTACAAGAGCTAGTTCCAGGCAGGCTCCAAAGCTGTAGAGAAACCCTGTCTGAAAAACCAAATAAATGAGTGAATGAATGAATGAAAGCGGAGGAATGAGGAAGCACTTTCCTGCTCTAAGCTCACGTCATCTCCTACTCTTGGACAGTGTAGAGAGGCAGAGTAGGGAAAAGTGGGGAGTAGGAAGAGACCCCTAAAGCAGTCTTCATTTTCCTACGTTGGGTGGCAGAACTGGTGCTATTGAGTGAGCTAAGCTCTCTTGCTCTGCGCTTTGATCCCTGCCATTGCGGTCAGTGGGATTGTGCGCGTAGAAATATAATCAATCTAGACGTTTTCCCTAGCTTCGTATGGGAGGAGTGTCGTGACCGCAGCAGACCCACAGACAAGCCCAAGCTGCTGGCCGTCCGTGAGGATTATGAACTGCGCGTGTATGAATTTGATCTGAAAGACGGGCGATGCGAGTCGACCTTATTACACAGCTGCTGTGGGCGGACACTGCAG